AAAAGCAGGCCCAAACCATGATGCTGCCACCACCATGTTTGACAGTGGGGATGGTGTGTTCAGGGTGATGAGCTGTGTTGCTTTTACGTCAAACATATCGTTTTGCATTGTGGCCAAACAGTTTGATTTTGGTTTCATCTGACCAGAGCACCTTCTTCCACATGTTTGGTGTGTCTCCCAGGTGCTTGTGGCAAACTTTAAACAACACTTTTTATGGATATCTTTGAGAAATGGCTTTCTTCTTGCTACTCTTCCATAAAGGCCAGATTTGTGCAGTGTACGACTGATTGTTGTCTTATGGACAGACTCTCCCACCTCAGCTGTAGATCTCTGCAGTTCATCCAGAGTGATCTTGGGCCTCTTGTATGCATCTCTGATCAGTCTTCTCCTTGTTCGAGATGAAAGTTTAGAGGCACGGCCGGGTCTTGGTAGATTTGCAGTGGTCTGATACTCCGTCCATTTCAATATGATCGCTTGCACAGTGCTCCTTGGGATGTTTAAAGCTTGGGAAATCGTTTTGTATCCAAATCCAGCTTTAAACTTCTCCACAACAGGATCTTGGACCTGCCTGGTGTGTTCCTTGGTCTTCATGATGCTCTCTGCGGTTTGAACAGAACCCTGAGACTATCACAGAGCAGGTGCATTTATACGGAGACTTGATTACACACAGGTGGATTCTATTTATCATCATCAGTCATTTGGGACAACATTGGATCATTCATAGATCCTCACTGAACTTCTGGAGTGAGTTTGCTGCACTGAAAGTAAAGGGGCCGAATAATCTTGCACGCCCCACTTTTCAGTTTTTTATTTGTTAAAAAAGTTTGACACATCCAATAAATTTCATTTCACTTCACGATTGTGTCCCACTTGTTGATTCTTCATTAAAAAAATAAAATTTTATATCTTTATGTTTGAAGCCTGAAATGTGGCAAAAGGTTGAAAAGTTCAAGGGGGCCATTTGTCATTTTGCTTGACCTGTTGTGTCACTTATCAACCAAAAATTGCAAGATGCAATTTAATTGTAACCTGCTAACTCCCTCACACATTTCTCTGAATTTAAAAATGGATTTTGCACGACACGGTGACATGTCACGGTTTAAGTTGTACAATTATCTGAGTCAACTTTACTAGAAGAAGAAAAGATGCTATTTGACGTGGCATGGGCAGAGTGAAACTAAAGGTTTGCCGTAGAAAATAAAACTTTTGCAGGTTTGTTTGGACAAGAATCTCTACAAATCAGATTACATGATATTCCTGTATTCAGGCTACACAAGTTATTAAAGAAGTACCTGGTCTACCTTATTGAGGATAAAATAAATGTTGATTTCTTCTTCCTGTTGTGTCCTTTAGAGCTTCAGGACTTCCATGTGGACAGTAAGACACCACAGAGGATCCTGCAGTTTATACTCTGGACATGATGGGGTCCTTGGCCTTCAGAAGAAGCTTCACAGCAGTCCTACCTTTGCTCTTAGCAGCGGTGAGAATCAACGGGCAGGTAAATGCAACCCCTCTGGACTGCAAGAACATTTGTGTGTGCGCCAGCAACATCATCAGCTGTGCTAACGCAAATCTGAGCAACACTCCCACACAGCTTCCATCACAAACGGCCGTTCTGGACCTCAGCTTCAACTCCATCACTGGACTTCGCCACAAGTGGGCCCCAAAAAACCTTGGCAGCCTGCGGAGCCTGATACTCAGTAATAACAAACTGTCCTTCCTCTCCACCGAGGCGTTTGTGCACGTGACGAACCTTACTTACCTGGACCTTTCCTTCAACAACCTGCGTCAGCTGGATGAGCTGATCTTTGAGCCCCTGGAGCACCTTGAGGTGCTGCTGCTCTTCAAGAACTACATCTCCCAGATCGATCGCTCTGCCTTCGAAGGCCTGAACTCTCTGCAGAGGCTCTACATGAGCCACAATCAGATCTCACGCTTCCCCTTGGAGGTGCTTAAGGAGAAAAGCCGTCTGGAAACGTTCAGCCTGCTGGACGTTTCCTCAAACAGGTTTAAAGCCCTGCAGCTGCAGGAGCTTCAGGCTCTGCGTGCCTGGATCAAGAACGGCATCTACTTCCACAACAACCCTCTGGCCTGCAGCTGCGAGCTGTACAAATTTGTGGCGCGGTGGCATCTCATGGAGCTCAGCTCGGCCGTCGACTTTGCAAGCAGCCACACCTGTGTGATACCAGGCGTGCACAAGGAGAAAATGCTCATACTGGATCTGGACAAGGCCTATCTGAACTGCACCGAGGTCAAGGTGCTGAAAAAGGAGGCCTACTTGGAGGAGTCCATCAAGTTGGACTGTGACGCCAGGCTCAAGAACGTGATGAAAAGATGGGAGCTGCCAGAAAACACCTCGTTGTCTTCAGCGAATAAGACCGCGGAGGTTACGAGCGATGGCAAGCTCCAAATAGGGCCCCTGAGGTTGGAGCACTCAGGGGTGTACACCTGCTACGCTACAGGCGATTCTCTCAACCAGACTCTGCACATAACTGTGGTGGTGTTGAACTCCACCACTCGTGGCGGGCTGGAGAATCTAAAAACAGCCTACACCACCCTGGTGGCGTGCCTGATCAGCATAGTTATGGTCATCATCTACCTCTACTTCACACCCTGCCACTGCCCCTGCTGCCCAGGCGAGAAAGACGACCCCAGAGAGAGCCTCCACTCCTCCACCGTCAGCCTCTCTAAGGCTCAGGACGAGGTGGGGCAACAAAGAGCCGAGGGCGGAGGCTTCGCCTTCGGACACGCAGCCCCACTGGGACAAAAGCGTCAGCTGGAGGAGAACGAGAGGCTGAACCCAATAGGTGAGGCAGACGAGGAGTGGCAGGAGGGCAACAAGAAGAGAAGCGGGTCTGATGCAGAGTCTGTCAGCTCGGTGAGCTCCGATACTCCCATGGTGGTTTGAGAGAGGCTCTTGCAGTTAATAACACTGTAGCAGCAATATATTCTGTTAAAAGGGAATAAATTGCTTCACAAATGCCTAAAAACTGTGGTTAAAACCGAGCTTTTATCTTGTATTCTTCCATTTCCAACAAAGGCACTTCGGCGAGCTTTTAGGAGCACAAACACTTTAAAACCACTGAAACGCGCAAAAGACAAACGGCATCAAAACACTTTTCATCAACCGTCAGTTGCATTTGCTTCTGAATACCCAAAGCCAATTAATACATGAAGACTTTAATACAGTAGGGGTCATGGAGCTTAAGGAAAAATAACTTACAGATGTTGGACCTGTTGGTGCAGCTTTACGAGGCGTTCCTTATATGCAAGGCTCAGATACTAGTGAAAATACTTTGTATTTATGCTGCTTTAGTTTCTGTTTTTGGTGTTTTTACTTCCACAGAAAATGATACCATAAGGATCAGATCAATCTTATGCACTTATTATCGTCATGACTGTTGTACATATAAATGTGTTTTAATGCAAAGTGTGTGTTTTCCTGTAACTGTGGCCTTTTGGTAATGGTTCTAAGAATGGCTTTAACCAGTTAGCTCTGTTTTAATGTTTTTGCATTATGACAAATTAGAGTACTACTAATAATGTTGTGCTTTTATTTATTATTAACGAGAACTTTCATTAATAACATATTTAGTCGAAATTAGGCCTGTCGCTATAAACAATATATCAATTAATCGCATGATAAATGAAAATTATCAACCTCATTTTCATTTATCGGCTTTATCGTTTCTTCGTGTCTCTCTCTTTCTACTGAAGACACTGGATGACAAAAGACTCAACTCCGGTGTTCTTCACTGACCCCTCCCTTTCTCTTTAAAATCCATTTTAACCGTCCAAAATTGCGGTTTTGGATCGTTAAAAGCAGCTAAGCTGAGAAGCTAAGCTATGAGCTAAGCTAACAGGCCGACCTCAGGGGAAAAAAAGAACCCTGTCTTGTCGAAGCTCCAAAGTTCACGATTGAAACCCGTGCCTTCGTGTAAAAAGTTGTTTTTCTGTGCAAAAAGCTGAGAACTTGTTTACTGATTTTTTTTATTTTTTATTAAAAGCTTTGTGTGAAAAATGCTATGCTAAAGAGCTCAAATCACACAGAGCGTCTGCCGTTTTGAGAACCGAAGAAAGGAAGAAGAGACAGCCCATGTCACATCAAGGGGCCTCCCTCCCATTTTTCTTAAAGAGACACTGCTCGCTCCCTCACTATCCATCCTTTGGTTCAAACAGTTTTATACTGCCATCCCGTGGTCGCAAAACAAATTAACCAACATTTCTTCTTCAAGTTGACAATAATTACTAATTATAGTCAAATTTCAAACAATATTATTGTTTATCGCAATAATTTCTGAGACAATTAATCGCCCAGAAAAAATTGTTATCGTGACAGGCCTAGTTGAAATCCCACCTCCTAGGTGAAGACGTGCCTATTGTTAAAAAAAAAAAAAAGATCCAAGTTTCTTAAAGTTTATTTAAATTTTTTTCTGATTTGTGCAGATCAAATGAACACTCAGACAGACGAGATGAGAAAATGAACAAACGATTGTACTCACATTGATAAAACTCGTGTTATTGAGACGAGGGGAAACAACTGGCAAATGCAAAACAAAGGAAGGCCTTTTACAACAGAGCATTGTCTGCCTCGCTGACTGCAGCTGTAATTTCATTGAAGAATGATTTTCTCTTCTCAATACAATTAGTATGTATTCGCTGTGAGTTTCACATGGGTAACATAAATGTGCTTCATACCATGCTGGATAGTTTATAGCTGCCGGGAAGCATTGCCCAGGGGACAAAACAACTGAATGCAGGCACCATTTACTGAATGCTTTGGGGCTTTAGTGCCCAGCCCTCTGCAAATCATCCACTAGAGCCGACCAGAGCGCTCATAAACACGGTCAGAAATAGCAGCTGTGAAGCAGCCAGTGCCCTCAAAGCTGCATGACACAGCTGAAAACTGAATGTACAACCTGCAGTTTAATGGATGTCATGAAGTTAAGAGTCACATCACAAGTCAATCTGTCACGATTGACAGAAAACCATGCAAGATAATAGATGTAGCTCTGTACTTCTGTGTTGTAGGGTTACTACTTCACTGCGGGGGGTTTTCAGGATCCTTTATACCTGATGAATGAACACCTTCAACTTAGTAAACATGTCTGTGTGTTAAGACCGTGAAACTGTTCCCAGTGTCTTGAACATCATTTAATAAAAGAAACAGAATGTGGCTCAATGTCTTTCATTTCTTATATACGTGTACCATCCAATGTGTTAGGAGCACACACTTTATGTTAGGGACTCTTAATGTATGTAACAACTCTAACCCATGAAGTCCTGACCTCCACCCAACCTCTAAAGGTTTATGGTTGTACCTGGCAACGAGCCATCAATAACAGATCCTTTAAGCCCTGGAAGTTGTGAGGCTTGAGTTGGTTTCTTCAGCATATCCCACATGTCTCTCAGCTGAAAGGACAGCCGAAGACTTTAGTGGCCATGACAAAAACCGCGAGTGTGTTGTGTCAGCCGACCTCACAGTATCCTGCTGAAAGATGCCATTAGGAAATACTACGAAAGGGTGTTTTATAACAAGGTGTTGTGTTTCAAAGTCATGTTCTGTTTTTTTTTTTTAGCTTTAGGTGAGAGACCCACACAGACCTGCCCTTTCACACGATGTACTGTTAATGAAAAACTGATTTAATGGACCATTATGTTTCGCCTGTTGTATGGGTTTTCACTAATGGACACAGTTTAAGATGGAGACCCTGTGTGCTCTGAAACCTTTCTGTCAAACAAAGCTTTTTCTGTTGGTCATTCTTATATTGGATTGGACAGTACACCTGTTTTTGCTCTCTGCACACTTAAATGAACTTTCTGTGGCCACCCATCTGTTTGTGTTTTATCGTTTTGTCTTCATTCAATCACTTCTGATTGGTCTTTGATCAGACCAGGTCCTTTCCACAAAAGCTGCACCTGCATGGATGCTATGATCCAGCTGTCTGAGAGGCGCATTCTGGCTTTTGGAAATATGCCTCAAATAACCCTACGTGTTCATTTTTTCCTGCTTCCAACACAAGGATGAACGGCTGCAACTTTGCTCATTAGGTTGTAATTGTTGGCAATGAATTACAAAACCCATTTGTGAGGAACAGTCCAAAATGTCTCCAATTTGCAGCGGTTCTTACATTTGTTGCATGAACTGGAGGGCCTCTCTCTTGTCCAGCAAAGTTCAGTCAGGTCATCTGGACGGTTTCTTTTTTTATTGTTGTGTTTCGTTCTTCATCCAAAGGACTTCATCGGTCCGAGGAGCCACAACAAACACAGTCCCACAAGCAGCACACTCACATAGTGGACCAACCAGTTTACTGGTGATTTTTTTATCTGGATTATTGAGCATGAACTTTGATGTTTTCAACCACTTTGACTATGGCTACCTCCGAGGAGTCGATGAGGGAAAGGGTGGGCCCCAGAAACTGTCTTATCACCAGCAGATTGGTTGGTCCATTATGCGAGTGTGCTGCTTGTGGGATCGAGTTTGTTGTGGCTCCTCGTAGGCCTGTCACGATAAATTGTGCTGGGCAATTAATTGTCTCAGAAATTATTGCAATAAACGATAATATTGTTTATTTAAGAAGAAATGTTGGTTAATTTTTGTGTGTAGTACTTTTTTGGATCACTGGATGGCAGTATAAGACTGTGTGAACCGAAGGATGGATAGTGAGGGAGTGAGCAACGTGTCTCTAAGAAAAATGGGAGGGAGGCCCCTTGACGTGACATGGGCTGTCTCTCGTTCCTGTTTTTCTGTTCTCAAACTGGCGGACGCTCGTTGTGGTTTGAGCTCTTTAGCATAGCATTTGTCGCACAAAGCTTTTAATAAAAAAATCAGTAAACAAGTTCTCAGCTTCTTTTTTCAGAGAAAAACAACTTTTTAGACGAAGGCACGGGTTTCAATCATGAATTTTGGAGCTTCGACAAGACGGAAGTTTTTTCCCCAAGGTCGGCCTGTTAGCTCGTAGCTTAGCTTCTCAGCTTAGCTGCTTTAACAATTCAAAAACACAATTTTGGACGGTTAAAATGGATTTTAAAGAGAAAGGGAGGAGTCAGTGAAGAGCGCCGGAGTTGAGCCTTTTGTCGTCCAGTGTCTTCAGTAGAAAGAAAGAGACATGAGGAAACGATAAAGACGATAAATGAAAATGAGGTCAATAATTTTCATTTATCATGCGATTAATTTATATGTTTAATTGATTTGCGTAGCTCCTCGGACTGATGAAGTCCTTTGGATGGACGACGAAACATCTCAACAACAAAAAATAAATTGCCCAGATGACCTGACTAAACTTTGTTGAGTAACCTGGATTATTGAGCATGAACTTTTGAAGACCATTCTCTTGTGTCGATTAAATTTTGAAGGGGTCTTTAAAAAAAAATTATTGGTTGAATTTGAATGCACTTCCCAGGAAATGGTCAATATGGACTGGAGTTTGTGTGATTCCAAGTGAAAATTTCCATTTTTTTTATACATGTTTTTGTGGTCATTGTTTATTCAGGCCTCACCTTATGAGCTGGCTTCAGTTCCTGTACTGCAATAATTTAATCATGACTGGTTTACTGGAGTGAAACATGAGACCACCCAGACTGTTGTATTTGTTGCCTCTATCCCCTCAGCCGTTCAAACTCCAGGCAACACTTGTTGGATTTTTACCCTTATTTAGATTACAGACCTGTTTAAATCTCTCTGAGACTTGGTCGCCTGACGCTTCAGAACAAATTCAAGCCTCAATTTGTAAATGAGGAAATGTATAATTAAGAGAGCTAGTTTTAATTATATTTAGAGCATATTTTGAACTTACCATTGCTGTGAATTTAAAAAAAAAAAGTGTTTATTTAAAGTTGTTATTGCGGCAGATGAAGCTGTGTGAAACTTTATCTGCTGGTTCTACAACCTTTCTTTTGCTGGAAGAA